TGTATTTCCTTCACACTGTAGTTGCTATTTGTCGAAGCGCTCAGAAATGATTTGTCATCTATTCGTGAATCTGCATTGCCACCATCGGCGCGGATAACGGGAAAGTAAGACACAAAATGTACGAGTTTACGAGAAAAATCGAAAAACGATGTTTTTTATCTTTTTGAAAAATCATTTCTTTTCCTGTGTGGATGCCAGCTGCCTCTTCTTTTGGAGATAGAGGGTTAAAGATATAGTGTATCTTAATTTGCTCAGGCGAGGTTGTTCAAGGCGGGAGTCAGACCCCGCACGAAAAATCTTCTGGCTAATTTAACAATCAACGCACCCTGTTTTACTGCCCACAAGACTTCTCATGCGGGGTCCTGGTCCCTAACCTCAACAGCCTCGCCCATTGAAGTCTTTCGAACTCTGCGCTGACGCCTGCAAGCTATAGCAAGGGCGAACAGCCCTGTGTCCCTGTGGAAACGTGAGCGTAAAAAGAATGATTTTCGGCTTAGAATCTATTTTTTTAAGAAAGGAAACGGTAAACTGCAAGTCATCGTTAACCTCCAAACTTTTTAAATCCGAAGACCAACAATTCAAATCAGGAAAAACATATTTCTGGAATTTTTGAAAGAGTTATTCGTGAATCATAGTACACAGCTCCTTTGTTGCGTTGGGCGCAACGAGTCGCCACAAATATTAGCAGCGTACTATGATTCCCAAATAACTCTTTTCAAAAATTCAAAAATATGTTTTTTCCTAATTCGAAGTGTCGGTTTTCAGACTTGAAAATTTTGAAAGTTAACGATGACTTGCAGTTCACAGTTTCCTATTTTTTTAAAAGAAAAGGATTTTAAGCCAAAAATTTGTTTTTTACGCCCTACGTTTCCCCAAGGATACAGGGCTTTTCGCCTCTGGGCTATAGTATACCATAGTGTGGCTCTGTGGACGTTCGGACGCGCACCCGTGCGAGTTGAGCAATCGGACTCAGAACTCCGGTCGACAGCCCTTGAGCCACTAATACCTTCCGGACTTACGTCTCACCATAATTGCCGTCATACAGTGTACGACAAAATTGACCTTTAAAAATGGGCGTAACACTCCAGCTTTGCTTACTTACGACTCAGCCAAGAGAATTATGTTTTGCTGCATGCGCAAATATCATTGGCTTTAACCATCTGGCTCCATACACCCATCTTTAACGGTTTATTTTGTCGTAGACTGTATTCTTATATATTTTACAAGATATTGACTTCGCCTTCGGCTCGCTCGCAGCTTGTCGATGATGTACTGTAAAAAAACGGAAACGGGCAGAATAAAAATGTAAAGATTGAAAGTAATGTTCAGTTGGAATTGTCCAGCGATGTCGTCCGAAGTTCATTGTGTCTTTGACAGTTTGCGTTTCAAGACTAAAATATCTTGAGACCCGTAATCAAGCTCAGTAGAACAGCTACTCTTCGCTCTTTTCTGAGCTTATTCCGTTTGTAATACAGTCATTACTCGGGTGTACCTCGACTTTTATCGACCGGTTACTCACTCTCAGTAACTAGCCCACCTAGTCGACTCTTTCTGTTTTCGGGTTTTCGGTCTCAGAATTCTAGCGCGAGCCAAACCTTGGTGAAACATGAAACGATCATCTCATGAATCGTTAAATCGGTTTTCTTCGGGGTTGTTTCATTGGGTACTTCGGTGCTTGTTTTTTTGCGTAGCCATTATGTCTGTCAGTATGACTTTGCGGGTTTTCTTCCGATAATTTCGAAGACCATTTCCGAATTCAGATCTTTACTTTTTCAATCGAAATCATCACCTCTACTATCGACACACTTCTGCCACTTTTCTAGTAGCATTTCCAGACCTCTGCGGCAGAAGTCGGGAGGAAGAGAAGCGAGAAAGGCTTCAGAGGAAGATTTGAGTTCCTCTCCGGAATTAAAGTTTTTAACTCGTAAGAAGTTGCCTGAACTCAAGAAGAAGTGGTAGTCCGATGGAGCTAAACCAGGGCTTTACGGAGGATGATCGAAAGGCTCAATGTCCAGCTCTTTGATTTTTGTGGAGGTCATTTTCGCGGAATGAGGATTTGCATCATCCTGCAGCAAGACGATCCCATCTCGGTTGACCAATTTCGGCTGTTTCTCCGCTAGCTTTTCCTTCATTCTTTCCCTACCCCGACAGTAGTAATTGGCGTTGATATTTGTGGTCGGTGGAAGAAGACTGTAATGCACGACTCCCTGAGTAGTCCACCACGCCGTGATTATGATCTTCTGATGAAGCTCTAGCTTTGGGCAGTGACGCCCAGGTTCTCCTGGACTCAAATACTGAAACTTACGTTTATGATTATCGTACAGGATTCACTTCTTATCTACAGTAGCAATCCAGTCCAGGAAAGGCTCTTCCTTGAGACGCTCGAGGTTGCGAACACACGCACCGAAACGCTTCTTTTTTTTGTTCTGCGCTAAGTAAGTGGGGTACCCACTTTTCGAGTTTTCTCACCTTCCCAATCTGACGAATGTGCTCCATTATTGTAGCGTGAGAAACACCAAAGTGTTCCGCAAGATCATTGGAAGTTTCAGAAGGATTAGGTTCCACCAGAGTTTTCAGCTCATCATTGCCACTTTCGTTTTCGGTCTTCCGGGGGGATGATCTTCTAGGCTGAAATCTCCCGAACGAAAACGTTGAAACCAAAACTAAGCCGTGTGTTCGGTGGTTGAATCCTCGCCGTACGCAGCGTTGATATTCCGAACAGCTTGAGCAGCGGTGGTGCCGCGTAAAGATTCATACTCCGAAATGACCCGAACTTTGCTGTTTTCCATCTTTACGAGGGAAAGGTTGTAAAGTTAGCCGCCCCATACCGGGTTTGTAAAGTTAGCCGCCTAAGTTTGCCTGTCTCTACTACTCAATCCCAAACTTCCAAGAATAGATCTATAGATAAAGCAATGAGCTGTCGAATAGTATTCAACACAGTCAACGCGAAGAGACCGAGAATCCAAGAGATCCGCAATTAAAAGAACGTTAAAATCTCATGTTAAAAAGCCAAGACTAACAATCAAATAGTCAATCAAGCGACAGTCGCTACAGCCGTGGCTAACTTTACAAACCCGGTATGGGGTGGCTAAGTTGACGACGTTTTTTCGCACAAAGCAAGATTACTCATCACTAATTCCTATTTTGAGTACACTTTTCGAATAAACTTCAACCATAAACAGAAAAAAACAAAAAAAGCACATCAGGTTAACAAAAATGACTAACCAACTCACAGATACCGCTACCAACAAAAAACTGCGAGTTCAGCCACTAACAATATGCTAGAATATTTCGTTGCTCACACTCAGAACGTAAAAGGGTTCCTCGAGCACACGGAAAAAAGAGAAAGTTCCCGAAACAGATGCAGCGTTGCCACGTTGAATATCAATGCTAACTCGCTGACGAAAAACCTGAATGGATATCCTTCCTCCGGTATGACTTGGGCGGATTTCATGTTTAAGTATATTGTCTTACGACATTACCCAGATAAGACTTGTGCACATCACGCACCGCAGCTCGTAAGGATTCTTGTTTACACCACACGTTATTACTGATCGCTTCTCGAAGAAGAATGATTACAACGAAATCCTGAGTGGCACATTGACATTCCGGAACAGTCACGTGACCACTTCTCGAAGCTAAACATCAAGTCGTGTTCACGTGCGGCATGTTACGTGCCATACAGGACACTTCGGCCGTACTGAACAAGATAACAGGTACTCCGAGAATTATAGGGTTCTATTCAGTAATGACGGGTCAGCGTTGCTACAAAGACCCAAACACGTCCATGCGGAAGCTTTTAAACGGTTGCAATTCATGAACCTCATGCATCATGTCATCGTACACCAGACATTCCTCGGTCGGTACGGTATAATTTCCGAACATGGGTTCAACTTCACACATATGATGGTAGCTCGTACAAATGGCGATAGTGCAACTTCGCAACCCTCAGTTCGGGACTTCCATGCTGTTTCGATACGAGACCAGTTTGGGACATACGCTAGAGACAGCCATGCCGTTGGAAAAGCCTAATGTGTAAAACAGCTAGGGAATGGCAATGTTGAGCGTAACGCCACGCCTTGAACCGATGTGTCAGCCGTATACGTACCTTGTACCCACTGAGCCGTTCCGTAGGCGGTATCGAACTTGCTCGACTTAACCGAACCGACTACGCGCCGGTGGTCACATGACGGGCACTACATACGGGCACCAAGTTTTTTACACATTGGCTATTGCGCAGCGGCATGGCTGGTTGGAGGACGTCACGGTCAGGCCAAGCATACTCAGCAGACGAGATACTACGCTTGAAAGTTTTCTGGAATCCAAATTTTGGATCGATTTTGCGCGTAAGGTCAAAAGGTGGCGTGGTAAGGGCTCCTCTGGCACGTCAGTGGATATACCCTTGCCGCAGGCCGTACTTTGCTGCGGGCCGTAGACCTGAGGATGGTGTGATTATACCACACCACACCGAAAAAAACCACTCTTTTTGGTTTCGGTGTGCTTGGAACACCAAATCGAAAAATTGGTGTCCGAGTCACACCGAATTTGCCGTTTCGGTGTCTAGGAACAGCACATCACACCAAACCGAAAAACTTTTGGTGCACCAGATTTAATGAGCTAGTCAGCTAGCTTGGGCTAGATGAGTATCGCAAACTCGCTGTTTCGCCCCGTGGTTGATTCGATTAACTGTTGATTGTTTAAGCTGCGAAAATTTACCTGTGTGGAATGTTTTCTTCCGAATTCGTCTGTATTACATCTTGCCATCTTTCGACGGTTCTGTTCGTTCTTTCTGAATTCAGATGGTTTTCGCGTGCTGGTAAGGTCGTTACCAAGCCTAGAAGTTCACTAGATAGTACGACCGTGCAAGTTTCGATGTGTTTGAAATCTTGGTATTTTTTTGAGTTTCCTACAGCGCAGTTCGATTTGTCGATGACCGATTAATAAATTGTGAATTCGCTCTTTGAAACTTTTTTCGGTTTTTCGATTTGGTTTGGTGTGGTGCACCGAAAGAGTGGTGTCCGATCCACACCACACCAGAAAAAGCGGTGTGGCTTTCGCACCGTTAAACCAGTTTCGGTGTGGAGAAGCACCGAACCGAAAAACACCACACCACTTAATCACACTTTTCTCAGGTCTAGCGGGCCGTGTGGTCGCACGGTGAGACCCGCTGTGTCACATCGTTTTGCGGTTACGGATCAAACCTCCCGATTGATACAAGAGGGGTAATTTTGGCTAGAATCATATGCGTAAAAGTTCTGATTATGAAACAGTGTTTTGGTCTGAATACACCTAGAAAGTATGATTTTACAAGGCAAGAACCATGAAATTGGTAAGAAAGAATGGTTTTAGTCTGCTTCCACCTAGTTTCCACCTAGTATCCGACCATATTCCGACCGGAACACTGTTTCATAATCAGACCTGTTACGCATACGATTCTAGCACGCTGCGAACTTTCTGACCCTTGTTTCCCATAGGGCCTACCGGGAGAAAAGTCTCGACAATCGGGACCGCGCATGTGACGTTGCAACGTTGTAACGCATGTAACGCTTTCAAGGCGGCCTTCAACCGGCAGCCCGGATCAGCGAATATCTTCGAGCTCCATTCCGTAAGGCTTGCGGTTTGACGGTTCGTCGCTGAAATTTTTCCGAACTGGACAAGAGATCTCTGGGCCTACAGTTGGAACTGTTTCCGTACGAGACTTTTCTTTCGTTGTAAATGTTAGCATATTCAGTTATCTGGTAGTTTGGAATCGTTTCGAACAAGTGGCCACAAATGCTGAGCGCAGTGCTGTTTTTTTTCCGGCCGCACACTAAGTGTAACAAAAAAGTCAAAAACAACATTGCATTACGCAATGATGCTATAAAACACATCACCATTTTAACGGCTGAATGGCGAGAACTTTTTTAGACCGCTCAGAATGTGTAAGTCACGTTTTTACCTGCGGCAGGAGGCATTCAAAGCGAGCCGTTACACAGCTTTTCTGACTGGACGGAAAAATTTCCAGGACGTACCCACTGATGAAAGTGCGGGATTGGTTTGATTTGTGTTCTTTGCAGGTTTCCTTAAGTACGGCGGAAGTGGTAGACGCCCCTGCTTGTTGGACACATTCAACGACACCTATCGGTATTTGGAGTACGTGCCTGTGTTTCAGCTCGTTCAGAATAAGAATTGCGAGCTCTGTATGATATTGCAGGTTTAAATCGAGCGCTGGACCAACAATCACTTCCTCCAGCATCCAGCAAAATCAGAGCGGAAACTACGGCGGCGTAAGTCATGCTCTGCCTTTTGCTTGCTTGTTTATTAACCACACAAGGCCTACAAGCCTTCATTTCCGCCGTCTTGCTTGCCAGGCTCTGCTCACGTCAGTCCTACGCCTATGGCACTTTTCCGCCTGCTCAAGTTTCTTTAGGTCCTACGCATATTGCCGTCTACGTTCGATTCTAACTTCCGATTCTTTTTTTCTTTGCAGCCATACGGCGGATTTGACTCGCAGTCCCAGCCATACGGCGGATTTGACTCGCAGTCCCAGCCATACGGCGGATT